GTATATGGCGTTGACTACTGCTTTCATTTCCAGCATGTTGATGTGCAGACTTTTCTCCTCGTTGTTCCATCTCCCGGCCGCCACAACGTTGTCGAGGTGTGCTCTCCAACCTTGGAGGGCGCGTCCACGTACAGATGAGTCTTGCACTCCGGCTCTGCTAAATAGGTGCCTTCGCAGACATTCGATCTCTGGGTCCACCATAGTAGATGAGGTCTGAGGAAGTCCGGGACACCGAAGGGGCCCGGGTCGTCGAGATGAGCATTGATGAAGACCTGTAGCAAGCGTAGTTGTAACCTCCCTCTGGCTGTCATGTCTTGTGCGGACGTGAGGAGACCCAACAGACTCTGCCATTGTCGTAGTGGCCACGGAGAGAGTAGGGCTTGTGAGATTGTCTGTTGAAACTTGAGCCAGCGGTCCTCTGGTACGACGATGCGGTTCTGCGTCGTGAGAAATCTGATGCCTAGGAACTGCAGGTCCTGCGTACGTTCTAGGTCCGATTTGAGTAGATTCACTAGCCACCCCAGTTGTGTAAGCAGTCTGATGGTGAAGTCCAGCTGTAGTCTGAGACGCTTAGGATCGTGATGTACTTGAATCCCGTCGTCGAGGTAGAAGGCACTGCGTAGACCTCGATGATGTAGGTATGCGACTATGGGCTTCGTCACCCTTGTAAACAACCAGGGGCCGGCGATATTAAATGGCAGGACCTTCCATTGGTAGTGTAGACCGTCCAGTGTGTAAACCTGAGGTACTTCCTCGAGGCGGATGTACAGGAATATGCAGGTAGGCGTCCTGTAGATCTATGCTGGCCATGTAGTCCATCGGACGGATGAGGTAGAGTAATTGAGGTAGATGTATCATGCGGAACTTGGGAGGTCTGCTTAGATAGTCTCTGTTAAACGCCCTCATATTGTAGATAAGTCGGAACTTTTCTTTGGAATTTTTCTTGGGCACTAGGAAAACTGGGGGGTAGAACCCTGGTGTGATGTGGGCTGGATCCATGACTTCTATGGCTTGCTTCTCGAGTAGAGATGTGACCGCCTCTCGTAACCTCTCTGTCTGATGGGTCATGAAGTCGAACTTGTGAGGGTTGACTGTAAGCGGCGGAGCTGCCTGTAGTTAGTTGTATGCGATATCCGTCTCTTAGGATGTTGGATACAAACGGATCTTGAAGTATTTCCCAGTTTCCTCAGTACCGTTGAAGACGTCCACCCACTTGTGAAGGTTGTACGGGAACGGCTGGGGGTGGAAGACTCCAGTCGTTCCGAACCCCTCTTTCATCGTCGATGATCCCTAACGCCTCTGGGTGCCCTGCCTCGTCCGGGTCGTCCTCTATAGGTGCCGGCTGGGCGTCGAAAAGAATCTTTTCCGCCTCTGGAGGTACTTATTTTCTTGTCCCGTGCCTTCTGGATCCCTGCGAACCTCGACCTGCCCAAGTAGCGCTGGGATGTTTGCCTGATGACGCTGGCCAGTGTATCTATGGACTTGATCATGAAGACCTCTCTGGAGTCTTTGGTAACTTCCTTGGCGACCTCGTCAATTTCTCCAGCGAAAAAGGATGGAGTTGACCACGGGGCTGTGTAGAGTGACTTGGTGAAGCATTCACCCCAGGAGGCAAGGAGGCGAGGAGACCTTGTCGTCGTGCTAGTGTCAGCGCTGCGGAGATGGATGAGAGATGGTCCGTCATAAATTGTTGGTCCTTCTTCTGCATAAGGAGTGCAGAGTATATCATCCTGTCTTCTTCCGCAGTAGAGTCCCGGAACTTAGCAATAAGTGTTTCGTTGACTGTTCTTGATCTGTTAAGGCCGAAGAACGTCCTGGTCATCGTTTCAACTTGTGCCAACTTCTTGTCTTCGATCTTATAAGACTTGGCCTTGGCATCGCTGATGACTTTGAAGTTCTCGTCGATGTCCTGTGCTTTGAGGAACGAATCCATGTTATGGGATGAGAACTTTTTGGCGTTGAACTGTGGCAGATGCGGCGCCTGGCCTTTCGTGGCATTCTTGAAGGCCGCGTCCAAGTTCTGTGGAACCGCTGCGATGGGATCAATCGGTGGGAGGGTGATCGTGTCGACGTTCTCATCCTGCATGAGATAGGTATGAGCTGTATTCTCGTCCTTAGAGGGCGACGCCAAGTCCAGACCGTTGGCCATCCAGTAGCGTATCTCGGAGTCAGAGAAGATGATCCTGCCGTCGCCCTCAGTGACAGGATTGCTGAGTAAAGGATGTTGTTCCTCCTCCGGCGGTGACCTGCGTGGAGACCTTCGCGGAGACCTGCGTGGAGATCGGCGAGGGGAGGAGCCCGGAGAACTGCGTCTGTAGGGTGACCTGCGCGGAGATGAGCGCGGAGATGCCTCGGAGAATCCCTCGACGATCTGCGTGATGCGGAAGAGACCTTGGAGACTGTATCCGAAGTCCTTCGTGAGTGCCTTCATGCGAATGCTGATCATCTGAGTCCGCATCAGGGGATAGGCGACTGGTCCTTCGCGAGTGTCTTCGCGAATGCTGGTCATCCGAGTCCGTATCCGGGGATGGGCGAGTCGTCCTTCGCGATTGCCTTCGCGAATGCTGATTGTCCGAGTCCGCAGCAGGGGATGGGTGAGATGTCCTTCGCGCAGGCTGGTCCTGAAGGGTAGATCTGTTCCCAGACGCCACGTTGGTGGAGGGCCTCTCAGAAGCGTCGTCTGCGTTGGAGCCTTCGCGAAGGCTCGGGTCCTCTCTGCGGCCTGGCTGTGATACCCTCTCCAGTCCGAAGCGCTGCTCCATCATTTCCATGATCTGTTGGGAAAACTGCTGCATGAAGTCCCCCGGGTTGAAGGTCTGCGGTGGTAGAGGAGCTGCGCTTTCTGCGGTGATAGCGATATGGCCCAAGGATGGTTCATCTGCCGTCAGCGTAGATACCTCGGGCTGCATGGAGATCTGCGCTGAAGTCACCGTTGCTGAGACTGGCCTCTTCTTGTGAAGTATCTCTGGGATGATGAGCGGCTGCTCATTGTAGAGTCCCCGTTCCGTCAACGGGACAATCTCGAATGTCCGTGTGGTCTGCGCTGACTTCCCCGTAGAGGTGGTCGACGCCCTGGGGCTGCGGAGCCGGAGCTGGGTAGATGACGACTTCCTCATCTTAGGCTGCGACGAAAGGACGTCCGGAGTAGCAGGCCTTTTCTTGGAGGTGGCGGATATCGTCCCACTCCCGTCCCCCGAGGAAGTCTCCGGCGTATTACCAGACGGAAGGGGGTTGTCTGACATCAGTTGACTCGTGAGGGACTCAGCTGGTTTATCCATGACCTGACAAACCTGTCTCGACCTATCTGCAGCACGTCTAAGGACGCAAAGAAGGTATTTATTAAATTCAAAATTAGTTAAATGCTGGCAATGAATGCAGCGCGAGCTGGAAGAACATGTCTGAGTGCAGCTAGGGCACAGTTGATGAGGGTCAGCAGCAGAGAACCGAAGTCTACAATTGAAACAGGTTTTCATGAAAGGTAAACAACTAAACAAACATGGACAAACCCGTGAATAAACAGTGCTAAATACAACTAAATATCAAACCATATTGTTGAAGGATACTAACTAAACCTCTCTAAAAGTAATATAGAGGGGAATAACTAAGAAATAAAAGGATATAGTGCTGTATAGGAGACACAGGCGCTCTCACAACCTGCTCACAGGGCGAAGAAGGAGAGAGTGAAGCGTGGGAGCACGGTGGCACCACAGTTTCCCGCCAAAACTGAGATAGAGACAACTCTGGTGAGTAGTGATTTTACATCTGTTTTATTGAAGGGAGCTTCAATAGGAGATACAAGTGTTCCACTAAGTTTGCAAGAGGAAGAAGACAAGCAATAAGCATGAGTCAGGATAAGGAAAAATAAATATGAGTTCAGATATTTCTTCTTGCCAAATCTCCTTTATATCTGCACAAGATCTTTGTACAATGAAAGCCGAGTGTCGTCATGGCGACACATAACGGTATTACATTACATTATCGTTATGTGTGCTGAGTGTCGTCATGGCGACACATAACGATAATGTAAGGTAATATGATGACACTCAGCTTTCATTGTACATTGTCAAGTAAAGACAGACTTCAAGTGTACATGGCCCACAACCTTTACACATAAATGTGTTAAACTGGAAATGGCAGTGCAATTGCACCTTGAAATTTATACTGTAGTTTGTTTCATGCTTTGTGACTTTTTGCAAACTTCATCAGGTGGTACACTATTGAAAAGTCACACATATGTTGAGATATGATTCTCTTACATTGTAAGTGTCTTTTCAGTACTTTGTGAGACCTTGCCCTGCAATACATGACTGAATGTGCCTTGGTACACTGCCGATCAAAATTTGTAGGAAATCATGTGACAGTGTTTGGTTTATTTGTCCTTCATTAGTCCCAAATATTCTCAATAGGGTAAAGATCTGGGCTGTAGAGAGAACTCTTGATGTAGTAAGGTTCATGCTTAAGCCTACTAGAGTTGCCTCCTATACTGAGTACCTTACTACACAATGTAATACATATTTTAAAATTCTATTATTAGTATTAGGAAACAAGGACTGTCTCAATAATTTCTAGGAAAGCTAACACTGGAACCACCATATCAATAGATCTGTAGTAAAACACACTTTAATCCTGTTATTATATGTGGTAATAACAATGATGGCAGCTAATTGTATATTCACTGGTTGTTGACATTACTTGTACTAGGTCAGTAAATACATTTGGTGGTGCAGTTCAGAAAACTACTGCATATTCAGCATCCTTATATATGATGTGCTCATTTCTGCTTCTTTGTGGGAATTTGCATGTGCTGGATTTTCCCAATTACTACTTTAGACATACATTGCCCATCTTGATGCTGTGAACAATTTCTACAAACCAATTCTGGTCAAGCAAATGGTTCTGGACCTAGAGTAAACTATGGGGAGTTAACTGATGTGCTATTTGTATTTTTATAATCTATTAAATATACTCTGTGGAGCGGAGACAATTTTGTCAGCACATACCCTCTTGGTTTTCCAGAGTCTGCATGGGTCATTATTCTTGCTGATGTGGAATTCTCAAACTCCTGTTTCAAGGAACTTTCATCCAATTGGAATGACAAATTTCTCACGAAGAGGATCTTTGAAGTGCCACGTTCTGGAAACATGAAAGCAACAAACATTAAATAACACTAAACAACTCTTTTGCATAATTTAGATGGTTCTCTGACCAGGGCACAATTCAAGGTATTTTGTGTTGAAATTGCACAAACCTGCCGATTTCCGTCTGTTGTCGCCCCTATTTTGGCCTCCTGATGGGGATTTAAAACTGTTTCCTTTTTGTCTTGGTCGATCCAGATAAATTGCCTGGCCTTCTAGGTCCTCCCCTTGCTTCTCTTCTAAGGCTGTGGTGGCTTGTTCAGCAGTACCAAACACAATATAAGCGAATCTGAAAAACAACACTCACAATTACGTTTCGAAGAAATCATATCACATACAAAATGACAATGGGAGTGAGGTGTGTGCGCCTGCATTTGTGTATGCGTTTGCTTGCATGTCTTTTCATTGCGCATAACGTGTACTGCATACGTACATAGGTTTCAATTTAAATGTCAAAGCTTGTCACTTACAATTTCTTAATGGCTTTGATATTCATACCACTCTGACAAAGAAACTGTGCATTGCTAAGTCTTTTTAAATTTAATAACATAAAAATGAAAAGTTTCCAGGTAAACTTAAACAGGTGGATATTGAGATCCTAAAAAGGTGGCAGAACAGCATGTTCAAGTGAGGTGAAATTGGGTTTAACGTCGTGCTTGAGAATATTTCGCTCATATGACGACGAGCATGCGTGTGTATGTGCGGCTGATTGTACTAGCCCAGACTTAAGCTGGTTTTATAGTGCTAGCCCACAGATACCATGCCGCAGTGAAGCATGAATACCCCACTCAGACACATTATACTGACTCCGAGCCCACCAGTCCTTGTTGTACCCATTAATGCTGAGCGCCAGGCAGGGACCAACAAGTACCATATTTTAACGTCTTTTGGTATGACGCGGCCGGGGATCGAACCCGCGACTTTCCGCTCTCCGGGCGGACGCTCTAACCACTACACCACGGAGGCGGTTAGCATGTTCAATGTCCATGACATTACTGGTATGGTATGATTCCATATTTGGGGCAGGGGGCAAGCAACAGTGTAAGATACTCAACAAGAAGACTGACTGACTGAATTTGGTTTTACGCCGCTTTAAGCAATATTCCAGCAACAGCACGGCGGGGGACACCAGAAATGGGCTTCACAAATTGTACCCATGTGGAGATTCGAACCCGGGTCTTCGGCATGACGAGCCAACGCTTTAACCACTAGGCTACCCCACTGCCCCTCAACAAGAAAACAAATATCAATTTGATCTGCAATGGTAAAATACTCTTCAGGAATATGTCAACTATACCAGGAGTCATTAATGAAGGGTCAAGCTAATAGTAACACTATTTCATAAAAGTTGTAAAATCTGTTTTTGTTTGAAATATATACAACTGAATGTTTTACAAACAACAGTATGGAAAAACACATTAGGCAGTTGAAATGTCATTATTACGTTCTTTAACGTCCGATACATTCTGCTACAAAAGGCACATTTTTCATTCAAATTGTCAATATGGAAATCCACCTGCCACTTAATGTCAATGATTTACATATGCAAGTCGCCATGGAAAGTGGAGGACCATATACATGCATTGATGCTTTTTCCCTGTTGTTCACTGTTCAGGTACCTGTTTGAAATCGAAGCTTAAATGAGATTTTTTTTTACACTTGCTGAAAGGCGTCAGGCCTTTTGGAATCTGGTCAAACCCAGCAGCAGGTTGCTGTCCGCCTTAATGTGAGTCAGAGTGCTATTGGTAGACTGTGTCAGAGATTTCAAGCCAGTGGGTCCGTGGAATATGCAAGTCGACCAGGTCGCCCCAGAGTCACACAACAGTCCGAGATGATAGGCACATTATTAACATTGTGTACAACAGATTCCTAAACGAAGCAGATCTTCAGACAGAACATTTCATTGTTAACAATGTAAGGATATCCAGGAGCACTGTTTGATGTTTAAGGGCAGCCGGACTTCACTGTAGGCGACCTGCAGTTCGTCCAGGCCTGTGTGACATGGAGTAGACATGTTGGAATCAACGTCAATGGTCTAGTGTGCTCTTCACAGATAAAAGCAGATTCAATTTGTCCTTCCATGATGGTCGACAGGATTTATCGTCGCAATGGAGAGCAAATCACAGATGCAACTGTGGCCAAGCGTAACTGATTTGGCAGGGAGTCGGTCATGGTTTGGGCAGGGATAACAGAGTGATTGAGTTTAGTTTAACGCTGCACTCGGCAATATTCCAGCCATATGGCAGTGGTCTGTAAATAATCGAGTCTGGCCTAAACAATCCAGTGATCAACAGCATGAGCATCGATCTTCGCAATTGGGATACGATGACCCGTGTCAACCAAGTCAGCGAGTCTGACCACCCGATCCCGTTAGTCGCCTCTTACATCAAGCATGGGTTACTGAAGATCTATTCTAGCCCGGTTCTTCACGGGTCGGCAGGAATAACTCTTACTGGATGTATGTTCCACTGCACGTGGTCGACGGTAATTTCACCAGACAGCATTATCGGGACGACATTCTGGCTCCTTTTGCAGTACTATTCCTGCAAGCTATGCATGGCTTTTATGGTCCACCCTCTTTACTGCAAGACGACAATGCTAGGCCTCACAGGGCGAGGATTGTCACGGAATACCTTAGGCAGCAGGCTGTAGAGCAGATGGAGTGGCCAGCAGCCTTACCAGACCTCAACCCAATTGAGCACACACGTCGGTCAGCAGCCTTACCAGACCTCAACCCAATTGAGCACACACGTCGCCCAGCACCAATGGATCTCTAAGGACTCCGCAGAGCTCTAGTAGAGGAATGGAACATGATTCCGCAAGCTTTCTTTTTGAACTTGATAAGGTGCACGAGAACAAGGTACACAAGATATTGAATGACCGAGTGCTTCATGTTTGTCAGTTTCATTTTGGGGGGTTGGTCTATAGACCTGATGTCTGCTAGTGTTTTTTGAACTTTTTGTCTGTATGTCATGATGTGTCATGTTTGTCAACACATTAAACACTATGATGACACTCTTAGTCCTATTATTTCTGAGAAACTTTTCTTTACATGTGCAATATATCATTTGACCCTATATTAATGATGCCTTGTAAAGTTATGACTCCGTCAAATGTTACATTGTTCTTCACACAAGAAGACCAAGTCATCAATATCTCCAACAATGGTAAAATACTCTTCATGAATATGTCAACTAGTTATGGCTATGTCAAATGTTACATTGTTCTTCACATTGAAAACATACATATGTAAACTATTCATATACTAGCATGCTTGTGTCAACAACAAACTGCCCGAGTGCTTCTACAGTTTGATGTACCTCAGTAATGTTGATACTGGAAATAGAGTGGTACTGTTGATTTATGTCATTAGATTCTTGAATATCCACAAAGTGGAAGGAGAGTACTGAAAGGTTTTAAAGTTCTGCTCCGAAAAGGAGCACTACCACAAATTTCAGTCAAAGTAAAACTTGTTGCCACGGAAATGCAAAAATTACATTATTCATAAATCCAAAACTATCAACAGGCACCAGTTCACCAAGTGAGTGAGTATAGTTTTACACCACTTGTAGCAATATTCCAGAAATATCATGGTAGGGGACACCAGAAATGGGCTTCACACATTGTACCCATGCGGAGAATCGAACCCAGGTCTTCGGCATGAGCGAACCAAATTTTGGGAAGAAACATTTCACAGTTTTAAAGTTCTGCACTGGAAAAGAGCACAAACACCAATTACAGTCAAAGTCAAACTTGTTACCATGGAATCACAGAAGATTTTTATTGAGAAATCTAAAACTACCAAAAGGCACCAGTTCACCACAAGACCTATCTATGTGCCAGGTTTGGTGAAGAAACATTGAACGGTTTTATTGTTCTGCCAAAAGGGTCCAAAATAATACCCCCTGCGAAATGTGTTGTGGGTGATAAGGGGTATGCCCAAAGTGAGCTATTGGGCAGATTTGGTACATGTTAAATGTATGCAGATACGTCAACATCTGTCAAAATGGCAAATGTTAAATCTGGACTCTTCAGTAAAAACAAGACCACGATATAGACCAAAGATAATAACATGATTTGTGGTGATTTCCTTAATCACTGTTTAACTGTTGACAGGATAATATCGAAATCTGTATGATTTGACACTAGGCATCGTGACACATCCTTGAAGAGCTGTGGTGTCAAAAGTGTCGTAAACTTCGCTCCATTTCATCCCAAGAGTGCCTGATTGGGGACAGATTCGGAGAAACAGCTGGCCAGGGGAGTAGGGAAATGTTCTGTCTCAAGAAATCTGTCACAACACGAGTAGTGAAATGTGGAGGTGCATTATCTTGCTGAAGCGTGAAGTTACATCTCTGTCCTTGAATGAAGGGCTACACATGAGGGCCAATTATCTCATGATCGCATTCCTGTATCACAGACCTGTCAGATTGCTACTGACAATGACAAGTTGTGTTGGTATTGTGGCATGTGGATATCCTACATGTGGGCAATTGACATCTTCATTATTGCTCCTACAACATCTCAACAGGGCTGAAATGTTGCAGTAGCAATGTAAATGCACAGCCACCTGGCGCTCAGACATTTCTGCAAGGGCCACAACAATAGCCTCATGATAGCCCTTTACCATTTTGAATGATCAAACAATTAAGCTACCCAAATCACCAGCAGTTATTCAATTCAAATCACTAATTACTATGTTTACAACAGTATTTGTTTACACATGTAGTTCCAATATGTATCACATATGGCTCGAAGGTTATATTTCTGAGTATCATCTTCCTTCTTTCTACGATTACCAAGAACAAACAAGAGTCATCAGAAGATGACAAATCCCCCCGGCCCCCATAACTTTAAAAGAACAAATCAACTGTAAATGAACTGACAGTTACTTAAGTCCAAATCGTTTCCATGGAAATCATGAAAAATAAAATTGCCCAAAATCTGCAATTAGCAGAAGGCAATACTTCAAGATCTGTTTGATATATCTGTCAAGTCTGGTAGAAAGATATTGAACGGTTTTCGAGTTGTGATCCGGAAACGAAACCCACCCCTCCCTTTTGAGACTAAGTCCACTTTGTTTCCACGGAAACCAAGAAAAATGAATATAACATAAATGTCTATTTCAAGCGGCTCTCCGACCGAAGCTGAGCTAGCGATCGCGAAAAAGCTTATTTTACTCCTGATAGTACACAAGTGATGACCACACGGTGCTTTTGTTCACTTTTACAACAAAATTAGTCTTATTCAAACTCCTGTGTGAAGCTTTAATGCTTATTTCTTTACATTTAGCGAGAAACATGGCAAAATATAGACTCTACGCTCTGATGGTTGTTGCAGGAAATAAATATGGCACTGTACGGGGAGTTGTATGATAATGATACATGTATTTCAACAAAATCCCTGTTACAATGGGTTTTCTTGAATTTTCAGGCTAAATGCATATTACATTGCTACTATTGTACTCTTGTTTCGGACTTTGAGACTATTATTTGTCATTCTATTGACGCTCATCTAACAAATGTTTTAAAGGTCCAACATCGAATTTTGGATTGTAGCACCACTAAAATGAAACTTGAGTCTAAAAGCTTTCCAAACATTGTGCCGGCTGATCTGATGAAAAATAACCAGACATGTATTCCTGATTGCGAGTTGCTCACAGTAATCCACCAGTGGAAACACCATGTACTTCACACGAAATGTTGTCTGACGAATCTGTCAGTTATGAATCAAACAACGTTTTAGTTATTGATAACACTGATGGTACAAACATAGAATATGATGATGACTCACTGATTAAGGAAATCAACAAATTATTACCAAGCATTATTCAAACTGAGAAATAACCAAACATTATTCCAACACTGGACGAACTGAAAACCCACATTAATGTAACAACCAGTTACACAACAATAGTGATGTACATAACTTCACTTAATATAAGATATACTCAATTTTATCCCGAATTTTGTGAACATCAATATTATGAAACCATTATTTTTTCAATACATGATTGGTTACAACTGGCAAGTTAAACGTGACAATCAAGTACACAATACACCTAGGGCAAACTTCCCCAAGTTCGGCCACCTCTGACGTAATAATAATTTTAATAATTTCAAATACATTCAAAGTTTAGTTTTAATGGAAAAAAAATCAATGTTTATTCATAATATTTCTATACTATTTGACTATTCTTGCTCAATAATCATAATTTATGCATTAGTGATTACAAAGAAAATTTAAAATAATTTTGACTTTGCATACCCTAATGACCATGCCTTTGTTACTGAATTTAATTGCTATCAGAAATATTTGAGTGTATTTATGTGAAAATATTCTTCATTGTCTAATATTCAATGTGTGACATCAAGAATCATTTCAACGAATATTTAATTCTAATGATGAATAGATGAACGATGGATCGAACCTGTGAAATTGTCCCAAACATGCGAATTCCTGCACTCAAAATTTATGTTCTAGTCAATCGATGTACAAAACTGCATGGAGGTCAAAAACGAGAAAAGTATGTCATTTTCAATATTTTAGTATATTGTGACATAAACATAGGTTGTTATTTATAAGATTGTCTGTCAAAATATTCTGTCCGTTCAAACACTTCCAGACCTTCAGTGCCTGTACATTCTAAAATCGTGGTAGCATCTCGTGTTCCTACATGTAAATCATTGCCATGACACGCTGACAGACATCACATTCCTTGGTATCATCCTTACCCGAACAGGTCTTGGCGCAAGATCTTTCTTTGATAAGTACGACTTTTTACAACCTGGACACTTCTCTGGTTCTAAAACCATGATGTTGATTTACATGAGATTTGTGACTCGACAGTTGGTTGAATTTCTTATTACATACAATATTTTCGAATCTCCATATGTTCTTGTGGATGCTGTCGGACTGAAGTTTCAAGCCATTCTTAGTTTTGAAAAAAATTCGACCGTGTAGCAGAGTGAGTGAGTTTAGTTTTACGCGGCACTCAGCAATATTCCAGCTATATGGCGGCGGTCTGTAAATAATTGAGTCTGGACCAGACAATCCAGTGATCAACAGCATGAGCATTGATCTGCGTAATTGGGAACCGATGACGTGTCAACCAAGTCAGCGAGCCTGACCACCCGATCCCGTTAGTCGCCTTTTACAACAAGCATAGTCACCTTTTATGACAAGAATGGGTCGCTGAAGACCTATTCTACCCCGGATCTTCACGGGTCCCGTGTAGCAGAGCTTTTATTAATATTGCCTGAAAACTAAATCTCATTACAATTCATTTCAACATGTTACACAAATATCATATGTTAAATGTTCATTTGTTCCATGTTGTCGGTAGTCTTGCCGTTGAATGCCGCCTCTATACATCTTCACCTTCTCCTTCTGTTTCCTGGAGCCTTGTCAACAAGGATTTCCCTTTACTTCTTCTCTATTCTTAGCCAGATAACCCATTCTTTGGGATTTTCCCTTTTTTTATTAATAGGTCACATCAAAGACTTCCTTTGATGTGCTACCTACTTCCTAATTGGCTATTGTGTCCTCTGACCTTACTTCCTTTGGCCACCTGTTTACACCTCACTCCACTTGCTGTTGCTGAGCTGGAAACATCTTTTCCCTTCTCAGGCTTGACCCTCAGCAACAGCTTCATTCCTCATTGAATAAAATTCATTTCATCACCATTGCCTTGTGTTTTCTTGGGCAGTAGCTCAGAGCCGAACCACAGAAACACGGCTACACCCTCATCAATCGCATAGGAGTGCCGTCGTATTAGCTTTAGTAGGCACTTGTGACAACTTGTGGCGAATTTAAGGAAAGACAAGACTCGTCTAAGGCACATCCATTTCTGGATGTGCAGTACACCATACGGTTTAAAGCAAACGGGTATTTAGTATTTGGTCAAGACATAATTCCACATACACCTGCATGTTAACTTTAACTAAATGAGGGTTCAAAACATTGCATATGGCGTGACTTATGTAACAAGACAAAGTCATCAATATCCCCTGCAATGGCAAAATACTCGTCATGATTATGTCTTCGAGTTATGATTATGTCAAATATTTAGGTGTGTATATAGAAAAGTGGAAGGAGAGTATTGAAAGTTTTTTAAAGTTCTGCTCCAGAAAGGAGCACTATCACCAATTTCAGTCTATGTCAAACTTGTTGCCATGGAAATGCCAAAAATATTTTATTCAGAAATCCAAAACTACCAAAAGGCACAAGTACACCACCAGATCTATATATGTGCCAAGTTTGGTGAAGAAATTGTGAACAGTTTTAGAGTTCTGCTCCGGAAAAGAGCACTACCACCAATTTTAGGCTAAGTCGAACTTGTTGCCATGGAAATGCCAAAAATGTTTTATTCAGAATTCCAAAACTACCAACAGGCACCAGTACACCACCAGATCTATCTATGTGCCAAGTTTGGTGAAGAAATAGTGAACGGTTTTAGAGTTCTGCTCCGGACGCACGGACGGAGTCCATTTTAATACCCCCCGCAAAACGCGTTTCGGGGGATAATTAGTGAAAAAGTTGTCAGATAATTGAATCTTAACCATGTGCATAGTTGTGACTTTAAATTTACCTGCAAAAGTTCACAGATATCCACCTGGAACTCATAAAAATTATTTATGGCACACCAAATAAACATGTAAGTCTTTGAGAAATTACCTTTTCCGAATACCTAACACAGGACTCAGTCACTCTGTAAAGGCGCAACTACCCGTACAGTCACAGCCTGAGACAGTAGCAACGACCCTTTAGCGTACAGTTTAGTTTCATTCAAAACAAAGGCTTGAACCATTCACAATACATGCATTGGGCATTTATGTAATGGAATCTGCATTTTGCCTGCATAGAAAAGGTCTAATTGTATGAAAGAAACAATCCACAATCAATATTACTGTGATTGACAGATTTAGATATTTTTGCGTTAGGCATGATCACGCGATCTGAAGAGACGACAGTAAATCATCCCGATAAAGAGGATGAATGAATGTCACGTCATAAATATAGTAGTTAAGGGTACAAGAAAGCTGCTTCTGCCGACACACAAACTTTGCCCCTTTCTATTCAAAATATTGTCTGTAATTACCGTGAATGTAAAACCTGGGTGGTCCCTGGAAAACTGTACAGTGGAAAATGGGTTGTTGCCGAGGTGCAACATCCAGTTTTCATGTACAGTCGAATATCCCCTGTGAAATTGTGAGTAAGGTGAGTTAGCAGAGATTTCTGTTATCTCTGAAGGCGGAGTGTAGGGCTTGAGACATAATGGCTAAAACCATTCATAGAATGTCCTTGTAACTTCTGAAGAGATACAGGCAAACAACAATGGGCAGACCATGATAAACAAAATATGGTAAACTGAAGTTAAAACATTAACAGACTGATGGATGGACAATGCTCCATACCCTTAACACTCACTTGAACTGAAAGTTTAAATAAGCCAATTAGTATCAGCAATATATTACCCTCTATGTGAACCATCTTCATTTGATGGCATGCGAATTGAATCAATATCTTCAAACAGGTCATTCAACACGGCCTCTGTAACACTTTCAGCTAGATTCTTCACAAATAATGTACGGCTGTCCTCATCTTGCCTTGACCCTGAAATACAAATAATTGGCAGTTCACAATTTCATATCTTATATTACCAAACACATGATTCGTACATGTTTGTGACGTATATTGTCAATTTGTAAATCAAGAACATGTATTTTGAGTTTGATTGTGTGTGCGTGGATGCGCATTACCAGTTTGTAGGTGGTTGTTGAAATAAAGAATGTACATGTACAAAAATGTATCCAAGACAACCTGGCAGGTAATTTAGAAAACAAATACATTGTTCAGGAATTGGGATTTCAAAAAATATCTTTTCTTAACTTAAATAAGGAGGTATTTTAACAGTATTTTGAGACTGCATTCAATGCAATAAAACACAAGAAGACAAAGTCATCAATATCCCCCGCAATGGCAAAATACTCATGATTATGTCTACGAGTTATGATTATGTCAAATATTTAGGAGTGTATATAGAAAAGTGGAAGGAGAGTATTGAAAGGTTCATAAAGTTCTGCTCCAGAAAGGAGCACTATCACCAATTTCAGCCTATGTCAAACTTGTTGCCCCAAAAATGTTTTATTCAGTTTAGTGAAACTTGTTGCCATGGAAATGACAAAAATATTTTATTCAGAATTCCAAAACTACCAAAGGGCACCAGTACACCACCAGACCAATCTATGTGCCAAGTTTGGTGAAGAAATAGTGAATGGTTTTAGAGTTCTGCTCCGGAAAAGAGCACAACCACCAATTTCATTCTAAGTCAAACTTATTGCCATGGAAACACCAAAAATATTTTATTCAGAATTCCAAAACTACCAAAAGGCACAAGTACACCACCAGATCAATCTATGTGCCAAGTTTGGTAAAAAAAAAAGTGAACGGTTTTAGAGTTCTGCTCCGGAAAAGAGCACTACCACCAATTTCAGTCAAAGTCGAACTTGTTGCCATGGAAACGCCAAAAATATTTTATTCAGAATTCCAAAACTACCAAAAGGCACCAGTACAACCCCAGATCCATGTATGTGCCAGGTTTGGTCAAAAAATATTAAACGGTTTTAGAGTTCTGCTCCGGAAAAGACAAATGTGCACGGACGGACGGGTTCCATTTTAATACCCCCCGCAAAACGTGTTGCTGGGGATAAAAACAAAGCAAAGCATTGAAACCTCTTCTTCTTTATTAGCCCTGTTTTCAGTAAAATAGAACCTTGCAGATTATGTCGTAACATTAAGCATTAGTTGTTACACGCATTTTGACATATACAATACCAATTTTTAAGATATTTGCTGCAGACTTGGGCCCAAATACTGGCTCCAGGGCATGACTAAATAAACCCTTGTTTACATGTGTTGTGTCTGAAGGATGTTAGCTATGGAGTACCTGCGACAACCATATCTGTGCTGACGACATACGATTGAGTTTTACTTCACCAAGCTACATAATGTCCCATAGCGTTTTCTTATCTCTTTCAACACCAGTAAACCCACTGGGGCTTGTATTGCTGAAAATAATATTCCTAAGTCCAACACTCATTCACTGATAACCATCTACATATAAAAATGTAAAGGGATGTAATGCACACAAAGTTGACAAACAACCCCCCTCTCGTTTCTGGGCAAATTCTGGGTGGGACATTATGGAATACACAGCTGGGATTCGTACAGAATTAAAGCCAGATAAATTTCCTTTCGATTAAGTCCAAAATTATCAAAATCAGTTCACTATTTACCGAGCAACTCTGCTTCGAACTCAGGAAAAGACAACTTTTCAGAAAATCATTGCATTCATCTTCAATAGGCTCACACCAACGATGAGCTGCTCTCTGATTGGCTAAAAATAAAATACCTTACCTGTGTACGAGTCATTCTGAAAAGTCCTGCACATTTCATGTAGGCAAAAATTGGAAATTATGTTTTCTTGTTTTACTTTGAAATGTTGTTGATTACGTTCATAGTATTCTGAATATTCAAACCATAACTTATGCAAGCTTAACGCCGTTTCATTTTTCATATTTTATACTTTTTATTAGAAATTTCATGAAATTGCGTCACTACGGTTACAAAATTTGTAACGGCAATTTGAAAAGAACAAATCCAAAAAATATATTCATTTAATGTACATATATAATAAAATAACTAGTTTATAACATGGCTAATGAGTTTTGAAATTCTATGTTTATTGCTTAAAAGGGGCCAACAAACCCAACAAGAGTCATCAGAAGATGACATATCCCCCCCGGCCCCCTCATATTTGAAAAAATAAATCATCTGACAGTTACTTAAAGTCCAGCTTGACTTTTTTTATGACTTTTTTTAAAACTAAGTCCGAATCGTTTCCATGGAAACTGAGAAAATAATAAATCACAAAAATCTGCAAATAGCAAAAGGCACCACTTTGGGATCTGCCTCTCACATATCTGCCAAGTTTTGCTGAAAGATATCAAGAAGTTTTCCAGTTGTTCTCCGGAAACGAAGCCCACCCCTCCCTTTTGGGACTAAGTCCGAATCATTTCCATGGAAACATGGGAAAAATAAAAATGCCCAAAATCTGCAAATGGCAAAAGGCACCACTTAAGGTTCTGTTTGATATATCTACCAAGTTTTGTTGATAAATATTATACGGTTTTTGAGTTGTGCTCCAGAAACGAAAGCAATCCCTACTTTTTTAGACTAAGTCCAAAACATTTCCATGGAAACCAAGAAAAATATAAATGCCATAATCTGTAAATAGCAAAAGGCACCACTTTAGCTTATGTTTGATATATCTACAGTCGAACCCCGTTTATCCGGACATTTTGGTTACACTCAGCAATCGTCCGGATAGCGAGGCGTCCGGTTAACTGGATCAAACAAGCAAAACGATTGCCGATGTACATGTATATTGAAAATTTATTCATGTACATGTGTATATATATATATATATAAATACATGCACAAATCTCAGATACAATTTTGTACACACTTTTTTTGCGATAAAATTCAGAAAAATAATTGCTTTGTGTCAGTGTTTGACAGTCATGTTTCCTCACTGCCATTGCTTACATACATGAAGTAGAATCAGAAGACAGTGCAGGGAGTAATCATTATTGCAATTTTGAAAATTTTGAAAATTGAATAAAACTGGGTGCTTTTGAGGGTTTAAAATAAATATAACAAGCATTGTCACTAAGGTGACATAATCCCCCACCGCAAATTATGAAATCAAACTTAAAAAGTAATGAAAGCGAAGGTCGTAATTTTAGATGAAGTTAAATGTAAACAAAACCATGACCAGTCAACCTCTCTTGATATCTTGTTCTGTAGTTGTTGAAACAGTTGTTTTCAAGACTGACTTTGACCTTGACATGAATGTCTTAGAGTATGAAATATGCAAAAATAGTAATAATTGCTTTTTGAAAAACATTCAAGGGAAATCTTGAAAGTCTATGGAGAAAATCCAGTGAACTGTTCTTGAGATATCTCGCTGACAATCTTTACATGCAGGTTAACATGCTGAAATCTTCAAAGTGTCGCTATGACCTTGAAAATTAAGTGATGGTGACCAAAATCGACTGGGCCCTCTGCTGTCCCTAGGTAAAGCTTGGTGTTGAATATGAAGAATATCTAGACACCCGTTTTTTGAGATATCTCGCTGACAAGCTTAACATGCTGAAATCTTCAAAGTGTCGCTGTGACCTTGAAAATTCAGTGAAGGTCACCAACATCAACTGGGCCCTGCGCTGTCCCCAGGTAAACCTTGGTGTTGAATATGAAGAAAATCCAGTGAACGGTTCTTGAGCTATCTCACTGACAAGCGTAAAACGTTAAAGTCCCCTTGTGACCTTCAAATGAAGGTCAAGGTCACCAAACCTGACTGTGACCTTTCTTACACTGTGATGAACCTAGGTACCAAATATGAAAAGAATCTAGTCAACGGTTCTTAAGATATTCCAATTCGTACGTACGGACGGAGCCTAATACTAAATGCGTGGCGGGGGGTAAAAATAATATAAAGTGTAGAATAAACCGAGATAAATTAGTTACCATAATAAATTATTGATTTTGACTTAGTTGTACAAACATACGACATAAATATGCACGGATTGAGAATGTCTCGCATACAAAAGACAGGTATTTTATTTTTAGCCAATCAGAGAGGATGAGAATACAAGGTTTCGAATGTGTGCAGTCCATGTTACCTTACCTACATTGTCTGTAGTGGATATCTACCACATTCACCATATACCATAGAATTCGGCATATTAGTACATCTACGCATATATTTCATTTTTACAGCCAGTTTATGTACACTGCAGATCACCAGCCAATCATAACTCAAATTTGTTTGAGCAACAGGTCTCCAGATAAGATGCATATCGTTTAAAATACCCATGGATAATTCAAATATACACTTAAAAAGTAAAAAAATCAAAGGTTGAAAGATATGCAACTTTCTCAGATACCAGTCAGATTTTGTTTACATGTGTGAAAATATTGTTTCAGTCCTACACATCTGATCTTAAAGGTCACATGCAACCAAAAAATCAAACATAATTAAAACACAATTATCACTTATTCATGACATACAATATACATTGCTGGTTATGAAAAAACATATAAACAAAATTATAAGCGTACAATCGCAAATCAAACGTGCAATATTGTGTACTTGGGTTTACTTCCCAAGAAACGAAGCAGCTGGGATACCGAACCCAGTCGGTGTGCACTCAAGTGTAACGGCTGGTTCATTTGCAGATGCCCTCACGGCTCTTTGTTGTGTATTGAAACCATTTGAACTCCGATTTCACGCGGGTTTTTTCATCGCGTTATTTTTCAACTTTATAAGTTGAATTTGCATTTTTGATGATTTGTTTCGGTAAGTTCATACCGAAAGGTATCAGAATCTGCAAAGTTGTGTTTTACGTTGCATGTGACCTTTAAGATCTCGAATAGTGGTGGTAGTCTGTATTGAAGCGAAGATTGTCGAAATTTTCCGAATGATCTTTGTTAATATTTCTAATCCACGTTTGGGGCACAATTTGTTAAAAGCTGGCTCGTACACAGCGATACTATCACGTTTCCTGGCCATATCAGTTATAATACAGTTTTAGGGCTACTGTTGATTACGTGATGGCCCTAAACCAGCATAGGAACACATATAATGTGCAATAGCTCAACATGCACTGTCATTTATTTCCTGTCATCAGCAGTAAGAATGGCTAATCAAAAGAAACTTGGTTTTTGAAAGGAAAACTGTTTCAATTAACAAGGAAAAGTTAGTGTCTGATATTATCAATAATGTAATTGACAATGTAGCTAAAAACTGTATTAAGAAGAAACACGATGGCAATAGTATCACTGACAAATGATTTCTGGTTGGAAGTCAAATTTCCAGTGGTTGCATGTGGAGCAAGATGATGTTGTGAGATAAAAATGTTTAATTTGTGAGCAGTTTAAAATGAAAACAATGTGGGCTAGCGAAGGAACTACAAATGTAAAGAAATTGACAATGGAGCAGCATTGTTCATCAGAGCCTCACGTCAAATCTATCAAAGAATCTATGAAAAATGAAGCAAGATCAGAGTAGTTTCAGGAAGAGCCATGTTCTGTAGATGTAAACGTATCAGACTCTGACATTTTCTTGATGCGAACTGTCTGTATGGTAATGAAAGAAAGAAAATAGTGACTGACAGAAGATTTTAGGCAAGTGCAGACCAAAAGGCTAAAAAAAAGCTAAGGCCAGACCAATTTTATTTCTTGTTTTACATATCTGCCTGTCGTATATTTTCAAGAATAAGAAAAAAATAAAAATTAAAAAAATCCCCACTTAAAAAATAAAATCCAAAAGTGTTTATTTGCCAAAAATGTAAACTTGCAAGAATTGTTTTTTAAGATTGTTTTTTGCCCCATATACACTTCACAAATTGCCAAAAGTAAAATACTTTGAGTATTCAGAAGGAATATTACTTTGATTGGTGATTTTATTTAGGTTTTCTGAGGACAAACATGCGTAAAACAAGAAAGAAAATTGGTCTGGCCTAAGTGTTGTGTCTTTGTGAAAGTAATAAAACCATGCAACCTGTGAAACACTCCTTATATTTTTGGTACTCCTCAATTTTAATACCCCTGAGACAACGTACTTATCTGGAGCCCTGAGCAATCACCCATTAACCAAAAATGCTGTCTGGATGGTACATAGCAGACCTGTATCTCACAACTGATCTACAAGACTACAACCAGTTGGGATAGTACGACATATAAAACATACCAGTAGATCCAGACTTCTGTTTCTCCTTGGCCTTCTCAACTCTGATCTCTTGTCCCTCAATACTTTTCCCACTGAGAGCTACAGCAGCATCAAAATCAGAGGGATCTGCCAAATCAACATATCCAAACCTGAAACAAATACAATGGAACCCTGCAACAATCCATCAGTTAGAATACAGCACCACAAGCTTTACAAATTACATCACAATACCTAATGACGTAATTTGTGAAACGCTACCAAAAACAATGCTCTTTGACGTCAGCCTGCTGCTGGGTTACAGAATAGAACAGAATTGTTTATTCTTGAAAATCATACAGAATGATATAGAGAACATACAGTCGTTTAAATACAATATCATATGGGTAGGTATTTTGATTTAAAAATGGCTAAGCACAGTTTTAGCAAAAAGTGAAAGTTTCAATAGGAATGGGGTATAGTTTGATTTCATAAGTGAGATAAATTTGTCCATATGTGGATTATTACAGAAATAAGAGGGAAGAATCTTCTTACGTTCAACATTAAGCTGTGTACATGATAAAATAGCATGATACTCGTCACAAATAATATTATTTTTACAAATTGTACATGTTCTGTTTTCTAGATTAATATTAAACCATCGTCCCGTTTCAATGGGTAATCTATGATTAGAAGCTCTTAATTTTGTTAACCAGATACGAAATTTTGATGGTAGATCTAGAAGATAAGGTTCTAAAGTGAGGTTTTATATAGATGGGTTACAGTGTGAGCCTAAATCTCCTCTCAGTAAATCATCTTTTCTATATATATTGTCATTGAGTAACCCAAGATATGAAGGGAGTTTGTGTGCTAAACATGGACTGTGGAGGCGCATTTTATAGCAAGCGCCAGTTCAAGGAAGCACTTATATTTTAAATATATTTTGTTCTGGTTTCTACGTAACTTTTAGGACTAAATGAATTATAAATGGAACCTTCTATACACATATTTTTTTCCATTCAGTAATTTGCATCATTACACAGAAATGGAGTTTATTAGTATAATTTATTTTTCAAAGCGGTAAGAATGAGTTACACTGGACACGTCGGAAGCCATTTTCGTGCTGCTTTGGGCAATGTATTCTGTTTATTAGGACAATTTATAGGGGTAAGATGTAGGGTTTAGGGTTATGTTTAGGGTTCAAGAACACTAGACAATTGCAATAATTTGCTGGGTGAAAGAAAGTCATCAGAAACATGTACCCCAATTTTTAACTTAAAAATATGTTTATTTATGTTTTAATTGCGAAAACAGTTTCTGTTATCTGAGCTTCGGCCATTATGGAACTGGAATTCATGTAACCTTTCTGCTCTTGACGTCGTATGTGACTAGAGTCCGCCATATTGCCAAAGACCATGTGCTACAGTAATACAAATCATGTTGTTTCTGTCGTTTTTGTAAATGGTACGATGGTGTATGGTCGTCTGGGGTGCACGGCATCACCAAACAATGATAAAAGCCACCATTTCTTCCATTTTCCAAGTAAAAATACAGATTTAGGCAGGAGAAATGTTCCGATCATTTCGAGTCTGGCACATATAAAAGAGACATGCACACATGGGGTATGAAAATCCAAAAGCTAGGCTGAAGAAAGAAGCAGTACACACGAGACTCATTTATACTACATTATTCGATGTTACAACTTATTGTCAGTGGTATTTTTAACATAGATGAAATCAAGTCCGATTGTGATGAAATAAGGTACCAGCTGCAAAATGCCCCAGCAAATTCTGTCAAATTGCCGCAGATTTTTGGTCAAAATGCCCCAATTTATTTAAAATGATTAAATATATATTCCATAAATGCATAGTTTTTGTCAACTTTGATACTACGTTCTTCATTTAAGTTATAGTTATGAGTTTATTAACGGAACATTTACCAGAAATATTACTTCCTAATAACTTTTATATGAAGAACATAATATCAAAGTTGACTAACTCTTGTAGGCTTATAATTAGGAATTGGATAGGGATTCTATTCAGGAGATGCTGTGGGACAGGATCACAGAGGGGAAGCCCTGTCTATGCTCAACCGGAAGTTGGTCGTCATCAACAACCATTTCCTCGATAGACAGTCGATCCCGGTAGAGAGCGAGTTCCAAACTTCGTAAGATTTTGATATTTCCAAGTAGTAAATGTTTATGAAATCGACTTGTCTTATGAACTGAATGGTCATGGATTATAACCCCTATATCATTTGGTCATGGCACATTATATCTTGTTTACATTTGAAGCATTTCTTGACACGTCTGTCGGCGCGAATTGGAAAAGCTGAGAAATCAACCACTTTCGACGTCCTAACAACATAATCAAGTATGGGTCTTCAGCATGACGAGCAGACACTTTAACCACTGTGCTACCCAACAGTCCCAGGTCAGTATGTAGTTCGATGTATTACCTCTTTCAACACCAGTCAACCAGAGGCATTTACTGCCATGACACTGAGTTCCCAGAGACTCTGAGGTCATAGATGAAGCCTATGTTTATCAATGAAAATATCAGCTCGTAAATCATTATTACTACTACATATCATACACCATTTGAAAGGTCTAATCCTACTGTTGATAAATATGAAAGTTATTTTATCATATTCAAGTAATACGACTACAACTTAAATAAGTTAATTTTTAATGAAAATGCAAGCTTACACATTTATATGTCCAGATAAACCACGAAAGAAGCAAAAATTGTCGGGATTTTTTCCCACTTGTAACATGTCATAATATCCCCTTACCTTTTTCTTTTATATTTTCATTTTTACGTAATCGGAAAATTATTATAAAAAGATTTCTGAATTAATATTTATGGTCGTCTGTGGCTTTCCGCTCGGTAACATGATACAACAGCGTGAAATACCTCAGTTTTCGAAGCTTCGTATGAATAACATGTGAGGCGATTCGTTTGATGGTGGGTATCGTTCGAAAGCTCTGAACATCAACAATATCACTATACCCTTGCCGAGAGTATTATCACAGTTGTAAGAAGTGATTTTATTGGATGAAGATTGGTTTCTAATGACGCTTATTTGCCTGAGTCTGCTATAAGGGTCGTGATTGGTCAAAATCAGACACGTGACCTAAGGCAGCCAATCAAATAACAGCAATGGATACTGTCGTCGTAAACGAAAACCTGCAGGTTCAGACGAAAGTTTTGGGTAAAATCATGCTATTCTGAACGTGTTACGCAAAAGATCACCACCTATGCATATATTATGGAACTTAGTGGACGTATCGTGCTAGGTTATGACCTGTGACAAGAAAGTTTAATGCATATATTTTAGCATTAAAGATTGTGTCCGAGCGTAAAGTTTGAAGCGATGAAAGCCGAGATGTCACTTGAATTACATTACACGATAAAGATGGAAATAGTAAGTTGTAACGTACATTTGACAACTTGTACGAGTACTGTTATTGATTTTATTCTTCCGTTTATTCAATTTGTGTAATTATTATCTCGAAACATCGTTACTTTGCTCTTTGACAACTCTGATGTGGACCCGTTGCTGAAGCATGTGTCCAAGAATCGTTTTTTTCAATAACATTGCGAAAAATAGTTTATAATTCTAATTCTGTCGATTATATATGGTCATTTGAAATGTGATAAGTGTTTTCAGGCATTATGAAAAGTGATAGATTTGATAAAAGAATCATGTTAGTTAGGTTCCTAAAATTATATATGTATTTGATGCGACTACTGCCTGGCCAGTTTTCCGGCCTACGGTGTCTGGGGACTGGGGACGTCTTGGCCGGTTTTCCGGCCTACGGTGTTGAATGGGTTAATGGACATATTTCAAAAGATGCCACCATTTAGGATATCTGCAATCCATTTCCAATTAATAGATAATAAAAAGCTTATTTTAAAACAGACTTGATGAAAAGAATTTTTCTTGATAATAAGAGCTGAATTTTCCCATGTGATTTGGATTTCAAAGATAGCACAAACTGTCATGGTTGTCCATACTACCCGTTGGAACAGAGTAAGACGGATGTATAGTATACTGCACGTGAAACTTTAGAGTATGGTTTCATATGCATTGGCTATGAACCAATCGAAAGTGTTCAAATTTGTCTAAAGGCAGTGATTTTGAAGCCTATAAAAATCAGTAGGACAAATGTCCTGAGTGGGTGTCTGGATATAGGCCATTGACCTAAAGCACTTTTTGACATTTTTTTAATCCCAATGCCATCATGTAACTAAATTGTTAATGACATTTAATGTTGCTACTTGGATTCTATATATACAGAAAACTTGAAGCTTTTTTCAAAGATTTATGACTTATAAACAGATAAATGAACATCAGTCACTCCTCTGTTCTGAGACTGAACAAAACAGAAGTGTTGTTATTTTTTAATATTCAGTTTTTTCAAACATACCCTTAAAAGTGAACATGATGTCATAGCTTGCTTCTTTGCATCCAACTGTTTGATTCAGCTAAAATGTCATAGCTATGGAAATACAATAATTAACACTGATTTTCGTTTGTCAAACTCAGACTTGCAAACTTTAAACTTCCAACAGTCAAAACTCCTGGTTCCAGAAGACAAAATTGGTATGTAGTCATTTCTGCATAGTGAAGAGCAGTTAACTCTTTCAACACCAGTCAACCAGAGGCATTTAGTGATTAACTGCCATGACACAGAGTTCCCAGAGACTCTAAGGTCATTGATGAAGCCAATGTTTATGAAGGAAATTATAAGTTTGTAAAACGTTATTGCTACAACCTCTCATACACAATTTAAAAGATCTAATCCCACTGTTGATAAATATGGAATTTATTTTTCTATTATTCAAATAATACAACTACAACTTAAATAAATTGATTTTTTAATGAAAATGCAAGCATACATAATGTCGAGATAAATCACGAAAGAAGCAAAAACTATGGTGATTTTTTTCCATTTTGTGACATGTCATAACATGCCCGTGCCTTTTTCTTTTATATTTTCATTTTTACGTAATCAGAAAAATATTATAAAAAGGTTTCTTAAATAATATGTATTGTCGCCTATTTCCCGATATCTGTGGCTTTCCGCTCGGTAACATGACACAACAACGGAAAATACCTCAGTTTTCGAAGCTTCGTATGAATAACATGCGAGGCAAATCGTTTGATGTCGGGTATCGTTCGAAAGCTCTGAACATCAACAATATCACTGTATCCTTGCCAAGAGTATTTTCACAGTTGTAAGAAGCGATTTTATTGGATAAAGATTGGTTTCTAATGACGCTTTTTCGCAACAGTCTGCTATAAGGGTCGTGATTGGTCAAAATCAGACACGTGACCTAAGGCAGCCAATCATATTACGGCAATGGATACCGTCCTCGTAAACGAAAACTTTTAGATTTAGACGAAAGTCTTGGGTTAAATAATGCTATTTTGAACATATTAAGCAAGAAATCGCTACCTATACGTCAATTATGGGACTTATTGGACGTATCATTCTAGGTTATGACCTGTGACAAAAATGCTTCATGCATATATTTTCGCATTAAACATCGTGTCCGAGCGCATGAAGATTGAGGTGGCGAGAGCCGAGATGTCACTTGTCAGTGACTTGACTTACTTTACATGATCGCACAAAAAGATGGAAATAGTAATTTTATATGTACGTTTGACAACTTTTAAGAATGCTATTGTTGATTTTATTCATTAGTTTATTCAATTTATTTAATGATTTCCTCGAAACATCGTTACATGCGGGTGGGGTCGGGAAACCCCGTTTCTGATTGTCCAATGCTTAAAATAGCAGCCAATCGCGCAATCCAATACATGTACATTTGGCAGCTTATTGTGATAAAAATGGATGCGTAAATACATACATGCCGCGGAAACATGATCAAGATTTCGTGGTTAGTTTTTGATGAATTTGTAAATGATAATGTTCGTAATTTATTAGGTCCAATATGTGAAAATAACATCAAATTATCGATCGGCCCGAGTGTCCTAATTAATAAGAAAGTAGTCGGTCATTTGAAAATGTTATCAGACTATGACCGAAGGCCGATGACAATCCGAAACCCTCAAAGGGTAATAATATAACTTGATATTTATGGAATTTTCTGGATGTCACACTATACCTTTGCTTACATAATGCCTTTATGATTGAACAATAATGCCTTTATGATTGAACAATAATTACTGTAACTAAATATAAAGTCTGAACAAGCATTGTCACTAAGGTGACATAATCCCCCGTCGCAAATTATCAAATCAAACTTATAAAGTAATGAAAGTTTAAGATGAAGTTAAATGTCAACAAAAACATGACTAATCAACCTCTCTTGTTATCTGGCTCTTTAGTTGTTCAAACACACACATATTTTCAAGACTGACTTTGACATGAATGTCATAGTGTATGAAATATGCAAAACTAGTACTAAAGAAATTGCTTATTGAAAAACATTCAAGAGGAGGCTTAAAAGTGTATGAAGAAAATCCAGTGAACCGTTCTTAAAATATCTTGCTGACAATTCAGGTTATGCTGAAATCTTCAAAGTGTCGTCGTGACCCTAAAAATTATGTGAAGGTCACCAAAATCGACTGGGCCCTGGGCCTTCCCTAGATGAAGCTTGGTGTCAAATGTGAAGAAAATCCAGTGAACGGTTCTTGATATAACTTAACATGCAGGTAAAATGTTAAAGTCCCCTTGTGACCTTGAAATGAAGGTCAAGGTCACCAAACCTGAGTTGGACCTTTCTTATACTGTGATGAAACTAGGTACCAAATATGAAAAGAATCTAGTGAACGGTTCTTAAGATATTCCAATTCGTACGTACAGACGGACCCTAATACTATATCCCCCGCTTCGCGCTAAACGCGAGAGGTGGGGGATAATAAAAATAGCGTGACGAGAGGATGCTTTAACCACTAGGTTACCTCAAGGCCCTGCCTCACAATAAAGATCCCCTGGTGGTCCTATCGCCCAGGAAAGAAAATGATATGCATTGAACTGACATGAGCTGAAATCCATCTGCTTCTTGTGGACAGAACTGAAATTTATTATAATTAGTCCTGAGTCCTCTACAGTTCCACTGTATAATATTTTCAGAAGAAACAAAATCTTCTGAGGATTAATCAGTGATTAACCATGCCCATTCTGTGAGGGTGACAAGTTATGTGCCCTACGATAGTTGCTATGAGACATCAATGTCCTCCAGGTATCCATTCTTGTAAATTGCTGGATCTGGTTGGCTGAAGCTAAGTCACTTTGATATTTTGGGGTTTGGTTTGGTTTTTAACTTGGTAAACATTTATTTCAGATTGGTGTTATGGAACACACAGTACTTTTGAAACAGTTGTGTTAACCCTGTCTAGTTTGATTGGCAATTTCTAGAGAGAATGGAGTAAATATTGGCAAAAAATATTTTAGTTTAATTTCTTTTGAATATGTTAATATCCTGTGGTTAGAAACTGTTCAGGCAATTAATTGAAGAAGTGATCACAAGCTCAGAGGGTATTTTGGTAATACACACACAAGTTCAATTTACTTTAGAACTTTTAAAAGGTTTTTGCCATCAGTAAAACTAATGTTTCTTATGAGTTTAATTCTGTTGATGGTCGTCTATTGTATATTGGACAGTCTTTAGATGAGGAGGAAGGACTCCTAAAACAGTTAATAGATTTTGTAAAGTTACTGTCATATTCTTGCATTACATGTGTATTCTCACAACAGTGAGGACATGTATCAATGGAAGCCCTTCTGGGATTTGAAACATCCTAAAATGTTTTGAAATGAAGATTTATTCTTCTTTCAGGGCAGCAATCAATCAATCCCAGTCACTCAAAGTAAGTTAGCTGGTCTTAGTGTTCTTTGTGGAGAAACTGGAATAATGAAACTGACAATTTTCTTGACAGGGTAATTGTTTGCTATATTTTGTTTTAGTCGTTCAATAGAACATTAAACCTAACCACGCATTCACTGTCTTTTACTTGCAAAACAACGTAAACCCTTTGAAACTGCAAATGGGTTCAGGGGTCTCATCAAGAGTTAAAGACAAGCAAAATGTGGCTTAAGAAATACAGTTCGCTCTACCACCATGTATAGTGTAATAAAGCTCACTTTTGCCCTGAACTATTATAGTTAAAGCACAAGGATGCAAGCGTCGAAAACATCACAAACTCGTGGCAAATTAATAATAGCCTGGCACACCAAGGGTATACTTCAGAATGGGGTAACAGCGAAAACAATACACCGAAGTCCTGTCACATAACCTTAGCTATTATTATATATATTTTACATTGATAGAGCAAAACCTGCAATTAGAATTACACAATGGTAAATATTTCTCTTGATAAAATAACAGTTTCAGATACTATATTTTCCCGACCACTGCATCAGAATTCATCTCGAAAATCACTGGTAAATTGTGGGGGATGTGTGCACAACTGATTGCAATTTCCGGCTCTGTATACGAGACACAGTAATCTTAATCCCTGCATATAATACAATGTAAAGCAAAAACGAATTAGAACTGACATGGTAAACAATCTTGTCTAGTGATGTTTAATTGCAAATTTACTGTCTTTACTGACAAAGTTGTCTTCTCTTGTTCGTTCACTCAAAGCTATATGTAACATTAATTCTTACCCCCTGAAAAACATTTCACGGAAGTATAACCTGTAGATATGCCGACCCCCTTCTACAATCCCAATTGAGGGGGCCCAGATCTAAGGAATTTCCCAATAATGCAGCATGGAAAGCTAAGGAAGAGAGACGCTTATTTCACAAGTGTTAAGCCAAAGGCCAGGTTAGAAAACTCATGTGAATAGTTAGGCATTGTTGTGACAGCATCAGCATTACAGTAAATATCAATCTTTAGTCAATATGTGGCCCCTCTGCTTGGTGTCGGGTCTCTCTCCTTTGTATGATGCAACACTGTCCCGTGTTTCTGTTGATTTAAATCAGAAACAATATCTATCTAATATCCCTATCTAATGCCTCTTGTGAAAGAGGCGTTTCAACTATGAAAAGGATAAAGAATGACTGAAGATGCAGACTTTCATTAGAAAGTCTGCAACATACTAATGTGCACTGATATTGAGGGACCCAGTCTTTCCCAGTTCAGACCAAGGCCATTTATTAACAGATGCTTGATCAATGGCCAAAGGTCAAAACATCCTACTACCATATGATACCTGCAGTGCACAGTGACTTTAACTTATGAGACTGACTAGTCAGACAGTGTTTACAGTTTCTCAGTCCAGAGAGAGTGAGACTTGTTCCGACAGACATGTAAAATGTTAATAGTATTACCACTAAAGCTTTTGACTTGACATTATCTAACTTGTTTTGTTAATTTGTGAAAACTAAAGGTTATTGATTTTGGAATTATTTTTATGTTTTTGCTTCTTTAAATTTCATTTAGCTTGTAGCTTAAAAAGTCACAAGCAGTTTTTTTCTTGTGCTTTAAAAAGTTACGGTCTAACCCTGACAATCAATTCCACAAAAAGACATAGTCAAAGTCAAAAATACTGAACAAAAATAGTTAGGGATATATGTAAATTTTGAAATTATGAATAATGATCTATTTATTCATTGACACACTGATAAAATATAAATCATAAAAATACCAATATCCCTAACTTATTTGGTACAGTATAGTTTGCTCAGGGCCCAAGGCTCAGCATGAACACTCACTCATCTAGGTGAATTCAGGGTCAAAGTAGTGTGTTGGGTAAAGGAAAGAATTTCCTGGAACCATTGCTGTTCCACTATCAGGACTCCCTTCCAATACAGGCACTAGAGCAACCAATAGCTAATAGGTTGCCTAATTTAGTTGCCCTTTACAACAAGCAATTTGGTGCTTGGGAGACGACTTCTGTGCATATCCACAGGGACCCTCCATTATGACTTTGGGGTAACCATGGCTGTAATTACTCTACATTCACTGGATCAACACATGAGTATAATATATGAGAATGGTAGTTTACTTTAACTCACGTTTTATTGGGCAGCTTCCTGGCATCTTTCACCTCAATGTTATTTTTCTTGAAAAGTTTTGCAAGTTTCTTTGCTTCTGTTTCACGGCCAAGGTTTGCAATAAAGAGTGTCACTGAAATTACAAAGAAAATAGTGACATCATGGTTTCAAGACACTTTGAAGTAGACACTTTGGGATACAAAAATATATTTTCCTACATAGATATGTGTAAGGAAGGATGAGGGTATATCAGGGTCTATACATATGTCCAAGGGACTTGCAATGACAGGATAGTAGAGTAGAAAATTTTGAAGGCACAAAACATGAAGGGGCATGGGAATCTCAGGTGGGTGACTGTCAAACCTCTGGAGAAAATACTGACGAGTTATCACTGAACATGCAGAGAAACCTTCAACCTACTGAAGATTGAACTTCCAGTTCAATGGTATCAATCCTATATGGAGAAACAAATGCCAAATGCCAATTTTAAAACAAGAGTCATCAGAAGATGTCATATCCCCCCGGCCCCCACATCTTTGAAAGAACAAATCATCTGACAGTTACTTAAAGTCCAGCTTGATTTTAGACTAAGTGCAAATCGTTTCCATGGAAATCATGAAAAAAATAAATGACAAAAATCTGCAAATAGCAAAAGGCACCACTTCAAGATCTGACTCACATATCTGCCAAGTTTTGCTGAAAGATATTAAGAAGTTTTCGCGTTGTGCTCCGGAAACAAAACCTACCCCTCCCTTTTGAGACTAAGTCCAAATTGTTTCCATGGAAACTGAGAAAATAATGAATCACAAATATCTGCAAATAGCAAAAGGCACCACTTCAAGATCTGCCTTACAGATCTGCCAAGTTTTGCTGAAAGATATAGAGAGGTTTTTGAGTTGTGCTCCGGAAACGAAGCCTACCCCTCACTTTTGGGATTAAGTCCGAATCGTTTCCATGGAAACCGGGAAAAATAAAAATGCCAAAAATCTGCAAATAGCAAAAGGCACCACTTAAGGTTCTGTTTCATACATCTACCAAGTTTTGTTGAAAAATATTGAACGGTTCTTGAGTTATGCTCCGGAAACGAAGCCCACCCCTCACTTTTGGGACTAAGTCCGAATCGTTTCCATGGAAACCGGGAAAAATAAAAATGCCAAAAATCTGCAAATAGCAAAAGGCACAACTTTAGGATCTGTTTGATATATCTACCAAGTTTTGTTGAAAAATATTGAATGGTTCTTGAGTTACGCTCCGGAAACGAAGCCCACCCTTCTTTAAGACTAAGTCCAAAACGTTTCCATGGAAACCAAGAAAAATAAAAATGACAATTATCTGTAAATAGCAAAAGGCACCACCTTAGGTTATGTTTGACATATCTACCAATTTTGGTTAAAAAATATCGAACGGTCTTTGAGTTATGGTCCGGAAACAAAATGATTACGGACGGACGGACGGACAGACGGACGAGGCGACGACTATATCCCACCGCATTATATGCCGGTGGGATAAAAAGGTTATAGTTACCACAACAACAATGTCATAAGCACCTCACCTTTCATGACTTTCCCCCCAGTATGAGTGAGTGAGTTTAGTTTTACGCCACACTCAGCAATATTCCAGCTATATGGCGGTGGTCTGTAAATAATCGAGTCTGGACCAGACAATCCAGCGATCAACAGCATGAGTATCGATCTGCGTAATTGGGAACCGATGACATGTGTCAACCAAGTCAGTGAGCCGGACCACCCGATCCACATTAGTCGCCTCTTACGACAAGCATAGTCGAATTTTGGGGCAAGCATGGGGGGCTGAAGACCTATTCTACCCTGGATCTTCACGGGTCCCTTTCATTGGAAATAAATATGTTTAAATCAGATCGTTCACTCAAAAACCAAAAAACTGAACTTATTAATGAATGGCGAAACTATTAAAGAAGCTGATAACCCTGGCTCTAGACTCTGGCTACGTGAGAGTGAACCTATTTGCCAACTTGGGTATTTTGTGCACACAGTTTCATGAAACAAAACCCATTAGTTTTAGAGATATAGTCCGGACAAACATGTCTAAAAGATGGCAGTGTTCCTATTCCACATCAATGACATATATTAGCAGAAAATAGATCATTTGTTATCCCTCACCCATTTTAGTGCCAATTGTGGCCCCCATTGTTTTTTGAATAAACAATAACTTTTGCCAGGTCAAATTGCTTCTAATTTAACACATACATGTCACTGTTTGCAAATATCTTTTCTACTACAAGGATATTAACATAAGGATTAATTAAGATTTGCCTTAGGTCATTGATTCTAAATTTTTACCATCTAACATCATTACTAGAAAGGTCTAATCTGACAGTTTATTAACATGAAAGCTATATTTTCAGAAACAAACTTAATATTGCTTAATCAAAATGGATATTGATAACATGAAGGATCTGCATGATGAAAGGAAAAAGTTGCGTGGCTATGAATAAGACTGCAGTACGCCCCTCACTTATTCCATTTTTATCATCATTGTTAAGATAAGATAATCAGAAAATGATAAAAAGAAAAATGAATACTTTCTATCATCACATATTCCATGTAATAGTAGCTTTCAATGCTTTGTTTTTCATAAAGCCACGCCATCACCCAAGTACTTACGATGTTTCCTTTGATGCAACACACCACGGCATAGAGTTAGTAAACACCGCCACCCCGAAAACATATTATGTCAGAAAACACATTATAAAATGATCTTCCTAGATTTCATTTCATTGGATTAAATATATTCCCATTTTCATTCATTAAAAACTTTACAGTAAGATTGATGAAAAAGTGTGAAATGGCATAGTTAATTTGCCTCATTCTATAAGGCCACCCTTTTTTTAAAACTTGGATTACGGACCCGACGAAATTTCAGAAAATTGAAGGGGAAGAAAAATAAAATTAATAACTATGGAAATTGCAGATTTGTTCCCGCCGACTGGACAAATATTTGCTTATTATTCTGCAAACACTACTTGGGAGAAAAAATGGAATAAACAACGACATGTTTGTTTGCAATTTTTACCCTGTTTAGGAAATATGCACTGAAATGGCATTTGCGATCGTTCTCGTAGGTGTGGTCAACAAAAAAGAGTTACTTGCCCCTGACTACAGCGCCCTCTAAGCGTCGTCTGCAAATGGCAGGAGTGAAATACAATGGGAATCTGACAGGATTTGATCTGGATACACGTTTAACCTTGATGACACGCAGGCATGCATGCACGCTTCTATCCGGGTTTTTTTTTTGAGCAACATAGAATTTCAAGGAGCATGGAAAATTTATAGGGAGGACTGCATGATTCGTTCGAAAGTTCTGAACATCAATGATACACTGCAACATTGCCAGGAGTTTTTCTCAGTTGTAAAAAGCGATTTTATTGGATAAATATTAGTTTCTAATGATGCTTTTTGCCACAGTCTGTTATAAGGATCGTGACTGGTCAAAATCATGCACGTGGCCTAAGGCAGCCGATCATATTACAGCAATGGATACCGTCCTCGTAAACGAAAACTTAAGACTTAAATGTTTTTGGTAAAATCATGCTATTCTGACTGTTTAAAGCAAACAATCAACACCTATACGTAAATTTTGGAACTTGGAGGATGTATCGCGCTAGGTTATGACCTGTGACAATAATGCTTCATGCAAATATTTTTAGCATTATACATATAGTATGACCAGAAATTATTGAGAATTTTAGGAATATGTTTAATTGGATTTCTAGTATAAACAAGAAGACAAAGTCATCAATATCCCCCGCAATGGCAAACTACTCTTCATGATTATGTCTACAAGTTATGATTATGTCAAATATTTAGGTGTGTATATAGAAAAGTGGAAGGAGAGTATTGAAAAGTTTATAAAGTTCTGCTCCAGAAAGGAGCACTATCACCAATTTCAGTCTATGTCAAACTTGTTGCCATGGAAATGCCAAAAATATTTTATTCAGAATTCCAAAACTACCAAAAGGCACCAGTACACCACCAGATCTACTTATGTGCCAAGTTTGGTGAAGAAACATTTAACAGTTTTAGAGTTCAGATCCGGAAAAGAGCACTACCACCAATTTCAGGCCAAGTCGAACTTGTTGCCATGGAAACGCCAAAAATATTTTATTCAGAATTCCAAAACTACCAAAAGGCACCAGTACACCACCAGATCTATGTATGTGCCAAGGCTTTTCGAGTTGTTTCGAGTTTTGCTGAAAGATATTAAGAGGTTTTCGATTTGTGCTCCGGAAACGAAACCCACCTCTCCCTTTTGGGACTAAGTCTGAATCGTCTCCATGAAAACCCCCCAAAAAATAAAAATGCCAAAAATCTGTAAATAGCAAAAGGCACCACTTCGAGATCTGTCTCATATATCTGCCAAGTTTTGCTGAAAGATATTAAGAAGTTTTCCAGTTGTGCTCTGGAAACGAAGCCCACCCCTCCATTTTGAGACTAAGACCGAATCGTTTCCATGGAACCGAGAAAAATAAAAATGCCCAAAATCTGTAAATAGCAAAAGGCACCACCTTAGGTGCTGTTTGATATTTCTACCAATTTTTGTTGAAAAATATTAAAAGGTTTTGGAGTTATGCTCTGGAAACAAAATGATTATGGACGGACATGCTGGGGGGGGGTAACAAAATGTTGGCAATTAATTGGATGACAAGGCGTTAATCTGTTAGTGATTGCTGAGGATAAAGCGAAATTCGTGCTATTGCAGAAGGCGTGAAAAGTAGACCCTCATGAACAAGGTAAGCGGAAGTGGTACACCTATAGAATGAGTTAATGTCATTTAACCCACGTTTTCTTCAATTTTACTGTAAACAGTTTTAATGAATGTAATCAAATAAAATGCAAGTCGAGGAAGATTGTTATATTATGTGTTTTCATCATACGTTTTTGGATGGCAGTGTTTACCTGCGCAATAACACTGTGTGTTGCATCACAGCAAACATCGTAAGTACTCACCTGATGGAATTTATGATAAAGTTGTCTTTTATAAGTTATTATGAAGTTCAGCTGTTCGGCTGATTATTCAAGAAAACCCTGAATGTTCTGTAAAACCATGGATATGTACGATATACACTGTTAATTGCAATTAACCAGAGATCAACAGCGCATTTGTTGATATGCTATTTTCGATGACATGAACATGTGTGATCGCTGGGCAACTCTTTTTTTTATGGGAGCCACGGATTACCCTCCAGTTTAACCGAATCCACGGTATCACAAAGAGCATTTTTGCGAGGAATGACTGTATGTGAATCTGAAAGCTATCTTTCTTTAAGATTAAAATACCCTTACCAATAGTCTCAGTTTTGCTTTTCTTCACTGGCTTTTCTTTCTGTGCCTTTTTCCTTTTCCCATTCACTTCATCTGCAACACATAAAAACATTGCACTGTAGTGCATCTCGAGCAGCTGAAAATCAACTTAAAAAGACAAAGTCATCAATATCCCCCGCAATGGCAAAATACTCTTCATGATTATGTCTACGAGTTATGATTATGTCAAATATTTAGGTGTGTATATAGAAAAGTGGAAGGAGAGTATTGAAAGGTTTATAAAGTTCTGCTCCAGAAAAAAAAACACTATCACCAATTTCAGTCAAAGTCAAACTTGTTGCCATGGAAACGCCAAATTTTTTTATTCAGATTTCCAAAACTACCAAAAGGCACCAGTACACCATCAGATCTATCTATGTGCCAAGTTTGGTGAAGAAATAGTGAACGGTTTTAGAGTTCAGCTCCGGAAAAGAGGACAACCACCAATTTCAGTTTTAGTCAAACTTGTTGCCATGGAAATGCCAAAATATTTTATTCAGAATTCCAAAACTACCAAAAGGCACCAGTACACCACCAGATCTATCTATGTGCCAAGTTTGGTGAAGAAATATTGAACGGTTTTAGAGTTCTGCTCCGGAAAAGACAAATGTGCACGGACGGAAGGACGCACGGACGGAGTCCATTTTAATACCCCCCGCAAAACACGTTGCGGGGGATAACAAAATTGTATCTATAAAGTCATACTGAAAGAATGCTGATCAAACAAGTATTGGGTTACAATTGGTGGTTGTGTTCTAAATTTAACAGTTTCTAAACATACATAATTTCCTACATCACCAAGTACCTCACGTCCATGACTGCATGTCTCAATACTTTCGTTATGAAAGTGAGGCCAAATAGTAACCGCATCATAGTGTACAGGAATGTTTCAATCTTTATTGCTTGGATGATTATATTACATCATCAAAACATGATCCTTTGCCAATTTTGTTCAGTGTATGTTAAAATGTTTTTGACACCGTCTTCTTGACAGTTTCTTTTGGAATTTTAGTAACATTGGTTTAAGTTTCCTTGGGAAATGTTGCTTATTGTGAGGCTGAATATGTAATGGTAGGAGCAGTGTAATGGTCTGTAACCAAAATATATGGCTGCTTATCCTTTCAAATAGATAAAACTCCAGGATATTATGCTTTATTAATCCTGTCTGCATAATGCAAAATGCAATATTTAATCTAGAATATATAGGCACAATGAGAACTGGTTTTAGAAGAAAGAATACATGAAAATGGCTACCTTCAACTTCCTCTTCACTACTATCCTCACTGTCATCCTCATCACTCCCGGAAGATTCAGCCATCTTGTTTGTGACAGGCACGCTCTCTTCATCACTGTCCTCGTCTTCGTCCTCGTCCTGTTCCTTGGTTATTATAGGTGGATTTGTGTTCTCTTCTTCACTGTCACTGTCATCCTCAATACTTTCATCCTCACTTTCATCCTCACTGTCATCGTCATCATTTGCTATTTGTTTCATTTTCATGGATGACTGGACAATGGATTTTTTGTTCTTTTTCATCATAATTGGTTTGGGTTTCTCCTATGGTGAAAGAAAATTATTATTTACAATGTGATGTTTCTCAAAAAGTTCAAACAAGAGTCATCAGAAGATGACAAATCTCCCCAGCCCCCAACATTTATGAAAGAACAAATTATCTGACAGTTACTTAAAGTCTAGCTTGATTTTATTTTCCGACTTAGTCCATAGAAAACGGGAAAAATAAAAATCTGTAAATAGCAAAAGGCACCACTTCAAGATCTGTCTCATATCTGCCAAGTTTTGCTGAAATATATTATGAAGTTTCCGAGTTGTGCTCGGAAACAAAGCGCCCCCTCCTCCATTTTAAAACTAAGTCCGAATTGTTTCAATGGAAACCGAGAAAATAATAAATCACAAAAATCTGCAAATACCTAAAAGCACCACTTTGGCATCTGCCTCACAGATCTGCCAAGTTTTGCCTTAAAAATATTGTGCTCCGGAAATGAAGCCCACCTCTCCCTTTTGAGACTAAGTCCTAACCTTTCCATGGAAACCGGGGAAAAATAAAAATGCCAAATATCTGTAAATAACAAAAGGCACCACTTAAGGGTCCGTTTGATATATCTACCTAGTTTTGTTGAAAAATATTGAACGGTTTTCGAGTTATGCTCCGGAAACGAAGCCCACACCCCTTTAAGACCAAGTCCAAAACCGAGAAAAATAAAAATGACAAAAATCTGTAAATAGCAAAAGCACTACCTTAGGTTCTGTTTCATATTTCTACCAATTTTTGTTGAAAAATATTGAACGGTTTTTGAGGTATGCTCTGGAAACAAAATGATTACGGACGGACGGGCGAGGCGTCGACTATATTCCCCCGCATTACATGCTGGGGGGGATAATAATACAACTACAACATTAATAAGGCTATTTTTAATGAAAAAGCAAACTTACAAACTTATGTCCAAATAAACCATGAAGGAAGAGAAAACTGTGACCATTCTTCTTATTTGTAAGATGTCATAATATCCTCTTACATACTTCTTTCATATTCATTTACGATGTAATCGGAAAATTGAACATTATTATAAAAGAGATTTTTTAAATAATATGTATTGTTGCCTATTTCTCCCCAAAAGTGACTTTCTGCTTGGTAACATGTAAGGCTGTAACGTTTCACTCACATATTCGGTGAATCGAACCGTAGCCCTTCATGAATTCCATTCGTTATACGTGGTCACCAGAACCGAATGTTAAGGAATACTTACTATTTTTTTTAAGGGAGCATGTTTTACTTGAACCCTTGTGCACTTTTGGAAAGCGAGATATGCAAGGATTGAATATGTACTAGCATTGCAGTAGCTCAAGTCATGTTAGTTTGCCAAGGCCACACATGGTACTGTCGACTATAACTATTACATACCAAATTTGAGTGTCATGAGATCACTGGTTATTGCTGTGACAAATCAAAACTGTCAACATGGGCATTCAATATTGCACATCAATCACTTAACTACAATATTGTTTTCGTGAATAATTATTTGTATTCGTTACCCAATATTCATGATACGTATCATATTCGCCACATAGTGTATTCGTTGCAGCCCTAGCAACATGACAACACCAGGAAACATCTCCATTATCAAAGCATTGTATGAATAACATGCGAGAAGATTCATTTGATGTTGGGGATCATTCAAAAGCTGTGAACATTAATAATATCAGGATAACCTTGCCAGGAGTATTTTTTCAGTTGTAAGAGTGAGTGAGTGAGTGAGTGAGTGAATTTAGTTTTACTCTGCATTCATCAATATTCCAGCTATGTAAATAATTGAGTATGGACCTTCAGTTGCAAGGAGCAATGCTATTGGATAAATATTTGTTTCTTATGACGATTTCTTGGCCACAATCTACTATAAGGACTGAAAATTTGAAGGTATTTTATTGTCAGATGATACCCAAATACTGGAACAATGACAAATTTGAAATATGATATTTTACAAGAAATATATTTACCAGAAATTCTGTATGTTAAAGCTAAAACTTTTGTTATTAAGGTTTAAACTGGATATTCTTTTATGGAATTACCTGCATTTTTTAAAACTCAACTGCCTTACATACCTCTTCACTTTCCTCATGGGAGCTGTTGGAATCCTCATCTGATGCTGGAGCTGGAGGTGCAACCTTTTTGCCTTTGCCTGGCTTCACCTTTGCAGCAGTTCCCTGAGCACATGAAGGGTTATTTAAATGAGATACATTGACATTTAAAATACGGTGAGAAGTATATCCAAACAAAGAATACCTATTTACAGACAAGTAAATGCTCTGCTTACCAAGTGTCATTTCATAAGGACTGTAAATTTTGGAAACAGTAAGGTTTAGTGTTCCATGCATTTTGATAAATAAAGAAAATGAAAGAAACTGGGTTTCCAAAAACAACCAAGCACCCACCCACCAAAGTGTGAGAGCAGATGAAATTTGATGAACATGATTTGCCAATAAGAAAGCCTCTCTGATTATATTCACAACACATGCAGGGTGAATTTCTCGCCAATATATAGTAAATATTTGGTAAACTGGTTCCATACATTAATATAGATGTGCTAAACATTGACAACAGAAATATATTGTACAAATTTTTGCTTCGGGAACCAACTCTTTGGGTGTTTGTCAGTATAAAATGGACATTGTTTCATGACAAATATGTTTATTGTTGATCATTCATGATCAGTCAGGGATGGTTCTTGGGTTTTTCAAACATATTATTGTGTGTCAAAATGCTGTTGCTGGGATAGTGGTTGACATTTTTTCAATACAATATAGTGTGATAGGTATATTTAAGAATAGAGTTGGTTTCATTTCAATTATTTTCATTTAAATACATTTTCTGTGTATGTATTTCTTCTTCTGTATGGGTTTGTAATATGTGGCTATCCGTGATATAATCATGGATGTTTTTCGTCAAGACTAATAGATTGCTTATAGTAAGCTAAATACAAGACTCACACAAGCCTCTAAAGTAATAATCAACAGTTTAAATGATGATTTCTAAACAAGAGTCATCAGAAGATCACAAATCCTCCCCTTCCCCACAACACAGACACATTTGAAAGAACAAATTGTCTGTCAGTTACTTTAAGTCCAACTAGATTCTTTTAGACTAAGTCCAAATCGTTTCCATGGAAATCACAAAAGATATCAAAGACAAAAATCTGCAAATAGCAAAAGGCACCCCTTCAAGATCTGTTTGATATACCTGCCATGTCTTGTAGAAAGATATTGAATGGTTTTTGAGTTTTCCAGAAACGAAGAACAACCCTCCCTTTTGACTGAAACTAAGTCTGAATCGTTTCCATGGAAACCGGGGGGAAAAATTGCAAAAAATATGTAAAGAGCAAAAGGCACCACTTTCGGTTTTGTTTGATATATCTTCAAATTGAACAAGAGTCATCAGAAGATGACATATATCCCCGGCCCCCACATATTTGAAAGAAAAAATCATCTGACAGTAGTCCAGCTTGATTTTTTTAAGACTAAGTCCAACTCTTTCCATGGAAATCATGAAAAAAAAAAATGACAAAAATCTGCAAATAGCTACAGGCACCACTTCAAGATCTGCCTCAGATATCTGGAAACCGAGAAAAATAAAAATGACAAAAATCTGTAAATAGCAAAAGGCACCACCTTAGGTTCTGTTTGATATATCTACCAACTTTTGTTGAAAAGTATTAAACTGTTTTTGAGTCATGCTCCAGAAACAAAATGATCACAGACGGACGGACAGACAGACGAGGCATCAGCTATATCCCCCTGCATTACATGCCGGGGAAATAAAATATTGAATGTTTTATTAGTTATGCTCCGGAAACAAAATGATTATGGATAGACGGACGGACGAGGCATCGATGATATAACCCCACAATACATGCTGAGGGTGGATAATGAAGTGATAAAACCATATTGAGCCATGCAACACTTACAGACTCATCCTTTTTGGGAACAAATGGCGAAACAAGTTTTAAAAAACTCCAAAACGACTTTTTCTAATGTACCACGAAATGCATGTGCATACTGACAGTATAAAACAGCCTACGCGACAAGTGAGCAATACAGGAGTAAAATAAACACAAAAATATGCCACATTTGAGGCAAATCGAAAGAGAGAGAGCTGTCGAAATGACCTAACAAGGAGCTTAAACACGGCGTCATTGCCAGAACCTTCGGCTGCACCCAAGCAGTTGTCAGATTGGTGCAATGACTAAGGCACACGGGCAATACGTCAGACAGGCCTAGGAGTGGTTGACCACGTGTGACAATGCCCAGTGAGGATCGCCACACCCAGACAACTCATTTGAGAAATCGTTTGGTAATGGCGACGTCCATGGCAGCAACGGCACTAGGACACCGTATCAGCAGACATACAATGAGAGTAAGTGAGTGAGTGAGTGAGTTTAGTTTTACGCCGCACTCAGCAATTTTCCAGCTATATGGTGGCGGTCTGTAAATAATCGAGTCTGGACCAGACAATCCAGTGTTTAACAGCATGAGCATCGATCTGTGCAATTGGGAACCAAATGACATGTGTACATACAATGTACCGGCAACTAAAGAACATGGCATTCAAGTACGTCAACCCTACCGCAGAGTGCATCTGACTCTTCAAGTGACAAGGGACCAGGCTAGTTCGACGTTGGCAGATGCGTGATTGGTGACATGTGATGTTCACCGACGAGAGTAGGTTTTGCCTGTACAGTAATGACGTTAGGGCTCTTGTTCACAGACGAGTAGGTGAACACGTAGCGCTGAATTGCATTCAGCAAGTCTGATCATTTGGTGCTGGTAGCGTGATGGAATGAGGAGAGGTCTGTGACGATCACAAAATGAGACTTGTGATTATTCATGGCCACCTGAGTGCTCGAAGATACAGGGATGACTTTTTGCGACCACTTGGGTTGTCATTTATCCAGCAACAATCATGTGGCTTTGTCTACGAACACGGTAATGCAGGGCCTCATACAGCAAGTCTGAGAAACGACTTCCTGCATAACACTAACAACGTTGTTCAGGGGTTGAAAAATAGCATTGCCCGACCTCTGGGTCGAGTGGAATTCTCCAGTTGGTCAAGTAAATATCCACATTAAACTTTACCGTGGTATAGTATTGCCAAACTACTGAAATGTTTTGATATATGTAGTTTGATGGTGAAATAAACATGCAGTTGTTACCAACTAACATCTGTGTTTTATTTCCTAGGGTATACTTAGAACGACTTGCATTGTATTTCCTCAACCGCTATTTGCAATGTTTAGATCGACAAACTAATTGTCAAAAATGATGTCACAATGTATTGAGAGTAACATATTGACATCTAATTGATACTCTAAATTTGATACATTTATTAGCTGATTATTAATTGGTGTTGAATTGATTAAAAGCTGTTGAGAATTTATTATCTGTTCTGTTGTTTATAATTGATGAAGATTATTTGTAAAAGATAAGTTACAGTCTGGTTAGCTGCGTACAGGCTTTTCCATGGCATATTTCTTTGCTTCATGGGTGGGACTATAAACTGTATGATATTGAAGAATTGTTTATATCATTCACATAAACATAATATTAACATGCACATATAGCTAGTTTCCAGTCATGTGACATCTAATCACATGTACCCATATTGAAACAGCAGAAATGGATAAGCTTGAGTACAGAGCAGTCATAAAGTTTCTGGTCCTCGAGGGCCACCCGGTGAAGCACATTGAAGAGCGACTGACAGCAGTACGAGTATCCCATGGGACTTAGTACTCGTACTGCTGTCAGTTGCTCTTCAATGAGCATGTCAATATGTGTTCGGGCGAGTTCTCTCAAATGTATCTCGTTCAGTTAGTGTTAATAGAATTTAAAACATTCATCGAAATGCAGGTACTTCGCTGAGTTAAAATTCCATAGACACTGACTGCACGACAATTGCCTGTGAGTGGAGAACACATGCTCCCAGAATCAGGTTTTAGAGATCAGTTAGTTTGACATTGCTGATAGTTAGACGTTAGAAATTAGTTAAGAGTTAGATTAGAAAGTCAGTCATTAGACATTCGGAGTTCAGTTTTGAAAATCAGTCAGGATTTGGTCATTGAGGATAGTGAGCTTTTAGCAATTCGGAGTTAAGACTAGTTAGAGCCAGTAGGTTTTGAACATTAAAAGAAATTGACTTCAGTTATTCGGGGGTTAGTAAAATTAGTTAAATTCAAACATTCATTAACGCTAGAAATTATACATTAAATAATATTTCGGTTTTTTTCATATAAGTGGTATTCTGAAATAAAGAACGGCATATTTATTTGCAATTTTAACCCCCTTTAGGAAATATTCACTGAATTGGCATTTGTGATCGTTCTTGTAGGTTTGATAAACAAGAGTTACGCGCCCCTGACTACAGCGCACTCTAAGCATCGTCTGCAAATGGAAGGTACGAATACAATGGGAATCTGACAGGTTTTGATACACGTTTAACCTTGATGACACGCAGGCATGCATGCACGCTTCTATCCTTTTTATACTTTGGAGCAAAATAGAATTTCAAGGAGCATGGGAAATTTATAGGGAGCACTGCATGGTTCGTTCGAAAGTTCTGAACATCAATGATACACTGCAGGAGTATTTTCTCAGTTGTAAGAAACAATTTAATTGGATAAAATTTGGTTTCTAATGACGCTTTTTCAGCACAGTCTGCTATAAGGACAATGATTGGTCAAAATCATGCACATGACCTTTGGCAGCCAATCATATTACAGCAATGGATACTGTCCTCGTAACAAAACTTAAGCAAACAATCACCACCTAAACGTAAAATATGGAACTTAGAGGATGTATCGTGCTAGGTTATGACCTGTGACGATAATGCTTCATTCAAATATTTTAGCATTAAACATATAAAGCGTGAAGTCCGATGCGCCGAAAGGTCACTGGACTTACATTACATGATCGCACACAAAATGATGGAAATATTAATTCATAATGTACGTTTTGAATACTTTAATGAGTACAGTTGTTGATTTTATTCATTAGTTTATTCAATTTGTTTATTATTTCCTCGAAACAATCCTTTAGATATTTTGCTCATAGACAACGTTGATATGGACCCGTTGCCGAAGGATGTGTCCGAGAATCTTTTTTTTTTAAAAAAAAAAACATTGCCAAAAAAAGTGATAATTCTAATTCTTTCGATATGGTCATTTGAAATGTACTGGGGTAATAAGTGTTTTCAGCCATTGTGAAAAGTGACAGATTTAATAAATGAATCATTAGTTGCAATTTTGAGGCCTGACATGTCAAACATCATGCTTATTATTGATCCCCCCCACCTGCCTACTATATATTTTGATATGTCAAGTTGAGCCCCCACCCCCAAAAATATATGTAAATTTTTAAAAAAATTGAAGTGATTTCCCCCTCCCTCCCCCTCCGACAATGCATTTCAGTTGAAAAAATCCATAATCCAGATTATTTTAAAAGGGTGGCCTTAGTTGATTAGTTAATAAAGTTAAGCTTCCACAAAACCGTTCAAACATTAAAGGGGAATCCGAATGAAAATAAAACTTTTGATATATTGTAAAGGATATTCTAAAAGTCACCTTCCGTGATTAAAATTGAACAAAAAGTTTGTAAAATAGCAAAAAAAAACCCAAAAAACGTACTCGTATTTCCGCCTTTTACGGAAACACCCGACAGTTAATGAGTAGAGGGGGTATCACGTGACATGACGTCATATGTGCCTGTTGCTGATGGCTGCCTCTTTGATTTTACCTCACAACTTAAGTGTCCATAGATTCTGAAGCAGTAAAAGGTGTTCCTGATGTCATTTCTGAAATGGATGTTAGACCGTATCAATACGATCCGATTTTACATCTTGCAAGACAATCTTCCAGTGAAGATGAAGAGGAATCAGGCGAAATGGAGGCACCGCTTGAGATCAAAATACATTTAAAAGAATACTATTTGACAGCAAAATGTGATATAGTTCCGACCAGCAAACCCACCCCTATAAGTATATGACCAGTCCCTAATAATTATATTTTTTGCAATGTGATTGCAGTTCCTTTTGTGTCAAATGGGTGACTGTAGGGTGTCTGGGATTTAACAAGAGTCTTCAGAAGATGACATATCCCCCCAGACCCCACATCTTTGACAGAACGAATCATCTGACAGTTACCGTATATTACCGTCTATAAGCCGACCCCATGGATAGGATGACCCCCAAACTTGTCCCTTAACTCTTTCAACACCAGTCAACCAGAGGCATTTACTGCCATGACACCGAGTTCCCAGAGACCCTGAGGTCATAGATGAAGCCTATGTTTATGAAGGAAATTATAAGCTTGTAAAACGTTATTGCTACTACATCCCATACACCATTTAAAAGATCTAATCCTACTGTTGATAAATATGAAGTTTATTTTTATAATATTATTCAAATAATACAACTACAACTTAAATAAATGTAATTTTGAATGAAAATGCAAGCTTACATTTATAACGTCCAGATAAACCACGAAAGAAGCAAAACTATGGCGATTTTTTTCCATTTGTGACATGTGATAACATGCCCATGCCTTTTCTTTTATATTTTCATTTTACGCCATCAGAAAATTATTATAAAAATTTTTCTTAAATAATATGTATGGTCGCCAATTTCCCGATATCTGTGGCTTTCCGCCGGTAACATGACATAACAATGGAAAATACCTCAGTTTTCGGCTTCGTGGTGCATAACATGCGAGGCTTAATCGCTTGATGTCGGGCATCGCTCGAAAGCTCTGAACATCAACAATATCACTGTACCCTTGCCAAGAGTATTTTCACAGTTGTAAGAAGTGATTTTATTGGATAAAGATTGGTTTCTAATGACGCTTTTCGCCACAGTCTGCTATAAGGGTAGTGATTGGTCAAAATCAGACACGGACCTGAGGCAGCCAATCATATTACGGCAATGGATACCGCCCTCGTGAAACGAAAACCTTCAGATTTAGACAAAAGTTTTGGGTAAAATAATGGTATTCTGAACATATTAAGCAAGAAATCGCTACCTGTACGTAAATTATGGAACTTATTGGACGTATCGTGCTAGGTTATGACCTGTGACAAAAATGCTTCATGTATATATTTTCGCATTAAACATCGTGTCCGAGCGTGAAGATTGAGACGGCGAGAGCCGAGATGTCACTCGTCAGTGACTTGACTTGCATTACATGATCGCACAAAAAGATGGAAATAGTAATTTTATATGTACGTTTGACAACTTTTATGAATGCTGTTGTTGATTTTATTCATTAGTTTATTCAATTTATTTAATGAATTCCTCAAAACATCGTTACTTTGCTCTTTGACAATGTAATTGTAGACCCAATGCCGAAGCATGTGTCCGAGAATCGTTGTTTTCAATAACATTGCGAAAAATAGTTTATAATTTTAATTCTGCTGATAATATATGATAAATTGAAATTTAATAAGTGTTTTCAGACATTGTAAAATGTCATAGATTTAATATATGAATCATAAGTCAGGTAGGTTCCTAAAATTATGTCTCATTTTGACGTGACTACTGCCTGGCCGCTTAATAGGCGTCCGGTGTCTGGGGACTCATAACGTTGTGGCCGCTTAAGCGGCCTGCGG